GAACTCTGGTTCTCACGCCTGCTTAGCAAGCGAGCACGTTTAGCACTGAGTCATCTCCCCTGCCCTGCATTTTCCTTTTAACTTATGATATATTCAGCTTACCGTGGCTCATTGAAATGTGACCCCAGAAGTCAAGAAGCACTTGGACACGGCTAAAGCCACAACTGATCTTTCAGTTAAACGTGAATAATTCACCTGGCCTCGGGACATAAGAACTTCCTTTTTTAAAAAACCTGACAAGCTGAAGCTAAATAAACAATTCACCCATGATGAAGAGAAAGAGTGTAGCTACCTGACTGTTGTCATTAATGAAGCCACTAGCTCAATGGTATGCAGGGCCAAATGTCAAAGGATGGAACCAGGAAACTGTATTGGATGAAATTGTCGTTTCAGGACAAGTACCAGCAATTTCATATAATGTGGTCAGATACAATGGAAGCCACACAGCACTGACATTAACCTACTGAACACAATTCAACACCATAGTTGTATATAAAGACCTCTTGTGATCTCCAGTGTTTGAACTGAATTGGTCCAGTGGGGCGTGGTGGTACATGCCTGTTACCCAACATTTGGGAGGTGGAGGCAAGAAACTCAGGAGCCCAAAGTCACCCTTGGCTACTTAGAAATTTTGAGGCTGGCCTGAACATCGAGAGAACCTGCCTCAAATTTTCTTTTTAAGAAAAAGGAAAAAAAAAAGAGGGAAAGAAAGGAGTTGTTCAGTCAGTAGAGTGCTTGCCTACCATGTATGAAGTTCAGTACCACATACACTGAGTCTAAGCTTTTGATCCCATCACTCAGGAGGCAGAAGTTGAAGGATCAAGAGTTTAAGGTTGTCCTTGGGAGCTGGAACCCCAGAACTCACATTAAAAAGCTGTATGATGGCACATGCTTGTAATCCCAGTCTTGGGGAGGTGGAGACAGATGCATATCCAGGACTCACTGGCGAGCTAGCTTAGCCTACCTGGTCCATTCCAGGACAATGAGAGATTTTGCTTCAAAACAAAAAGATGCTGAACAGCATGCTGAGGAATGACAAAGGCATCCAAGCTTGTCCTGTGGCTCCCAGATGTGCACACATACATGATCCCTATGTGGAGGAATGAACTTAACTCTTGCAAGTTGTCCTCTACTGCCACAAGTGTGCAATAACGTGTGTGTGCCAAATCCTACACACACACACACACACACACACACACAGAGAGAGACAGAGAGAGAGAACAAAGAAATGTTTGTTTTTTAAGCAATAATGATAAATTGCTGGTCCATAAATTCAACACATTACACAGGTATAAAAACAAAACAAACAAACAAAAAACAGCTCCCCCCAAACTACAGCACTGTGATAAAATATAGATTCCTTAAAACCTCAAATGTAAGTAGACTACTCCGTCCTGTCACCTTTCACAGAGAAAGGACAGATGGGGAAACCCTGTATGGGACAAAGAAGGAATCTAGCAAGAAGGCAGGATGGATCATAAATAGATGGATAGAAAGAAAGAAAGTGTAGTTCAGGTGTGACAATGTGAAAAAAATGATGGCCTGCAGGTGAGCGAGCATTAGAGGCACTGGACTGAGAGAGGACCAGATGACAGAAAAGGCAGCCCTTGGACACACAGTAGGAATGGAAAAGCAATAAAAGGGAACCTGAGTGAGTCCACACAGACCCAACACCAAGTATCAGTACTCTTCTTCCTCCACAAACACACAAAGACACCCACTAATGAAATCACACTAGGGCCTGTGGTCAACAGGTTATCTCTGAATCATGTAAATGACCTAAATCAGCCAAAGCAATTGAGGGGACTAGTGAGACAGCCAGATTAAAGGTGCAGCCTGAGTTACACAGTGAGACCCTCTCACAAACAAACAGGCAAAATAAGCTGTAGTAACAAACATAATAGGAGCAACAACAGCGTCCCACTAACAACCACGAGTCCAATCCCAGATACGATACTTTACACAGAAAAGCACTGCACACCTGTGCTCACTTCAAACCTAACGAGTCAGGAAAAGGAGAAATCTGAGTCCATGCAAGTGTTTAATAATCCACGTACATCCTTCAAAAGACTGGGAGTGCTGGATTGAGTGGGTCAAACAACACTGCCTGCAGCACCATCAAAATTCCTAATTACAAATACTTCACACTTTAGTGTGAGAACTAGTGTACAGTTAATATGTACAAAAAGTGGTTTATATATACTTAATTCCTTAAAACATCTCACTTGAAGTTTTCTCAAATTTTAAACTGAAATGTTTTAAAGTCGCAGTTACCATTTCGTCCCAGGCTTCTGTTTCTTTCCTCAGAGGTGGTTCAAACTGTAACTTGTCAACTGCAAATACAGAACAGGTGTGTAAATATAGATGCACACAGCCATCATCTAGAACAGATGTGTAAATACGGATGCACACAGCTAACATCTAGAACAGGTGTGTAAATATGGATGCACATAGGTAACATCTAGAACAGGTGTGTAAATATGAATGCACACAGCCATCATCTAGAACAGGTGTGTAAATATGGGTGCACACAGCCATCATCTAGAACAGGTGTGTAAATATGAATGCACACAGCCATCATCTAGAACAGGTGTGTAAATATGGGTGCACACAGCCATCATCTAGAACAGGTGTGTAAATATGGGTGCACACAGTCATCATCTAGAACAGGTGTGTAAATATGGATGCACACAGCATCATCTAGAACAGGTGTGTAAATACGGGTGCACACAGCCATCATCTAGAACAGGTGTGTAAATATGG